CTATTATGTTAGATTAAATTATCTCTTCATCGTACCATGGTGTACTACCACCATCTAATGTTGACTGCTCACTACTGGAAACGCGTGGTTTTATCATCATTATCATCATCATGATCATCATTATAATGATTTGACGCAAACAAATAAACGTACACATCACAACAATAAAGTTATAACTAAAAACTGCTACTTAGGCCCGCCACATACATACGGAATTCCATTTCGAGATTCCGTTTCGGAATTCCGAACGGGTCGGCCACACACATACGGAATCCCGTTTTGCCCGCAAAATTTCGAACGGAAAACTACCGCACGTGTGTGACGGGTCATAGATTTTATATGAACTTGCTGCGTTCGAAATCTCGAATCGGAATATCGAAACGGAATCCCGAAACGGAATTCCGTATGTATGTGGCGGGCCTTATGGTTTAACTATAACTTTCATTTAGGCCGGTTACATACATACGGAATTCCGTATGTATGTCGCGGGCCTTAATAAGTTAATTTGAACTAGGTATTAACTGTTTAGCTTTTTGCGTCGTAGTTTGTTAGGCTCGCCACTTACATACGGAATTCCGTTTCGAGATTCCGTTTCGGAATTCCGAACCTTCGGCCACACACATACGGAATCCCATTTTGTCCGCAAAACTTCGAACGGAAAACTACCGTACGTGTGTGACGGGCCATAGATTTTATATGGACTTGCTGCGTTCGGGATTCCGAATCGGAATATCGAAACGGAATCCCGAAACGGAATTCCGTATGTATGTGGCCGGCCTAAGTGAACTTCTTTTATTTTGTACGTATCTCCAGTACCAATGATAATATCGTCTCTAAGTCAATTACTGAGCATGATTGCGTAATGAACATCTAATTGAAGTTTTTATGAAATCCGATATAAAACTTTAAATATATATATATTTTACTAACTTGGTAAGCCACCTAATAATATGAAATTAATGTAGTGTGGGTAGACCGATTCGCACTCACACATGATACACAAAATTTAATTTGTGAATTTACGTAAACATTGCACAATCGTGAACATTTTAATACGTTTTTTTTTTGTGCCCGACTTTAAAAGTACTCTGTGGCTGTATCTTATGATGATAATTAATGTGATTACTATGGCTAGTAAAAGGTACTCTTACTACATATAAATATAATATAGTCTATTGTTTTTACATTTTACATTCCTACTTCCAGGCGACAAAGTGAAACTGACCAGGAGATGGACATCAGCGTCTTCCTAATAACGGCAAATAAAACTGCGGTTGCCAACTCGCCTAGCGTGACAGCCATGGCAAACCCTCTTATGAGGCATTCTATGGAAAGTTATGAATAAATGAAAAAAATAGTGCTGGCGGTGATCGAATCCGGGTTGCTCACGTAATATTACGTCGATCGCTTAGCTTCTGAACTACCACGGCTCAAGTGTCTGTGTGTAATGTCAAAATAACAACTTTTTACTAAATGCACATGAAAGTAAATAAACGGTACGTATTTATTACAACAAAAAAATCTAATCTCTGAAATAGCTGGACCGATTTTGACGGGACTTTGACTGGCTAATAGCTGATTTTATAAGGAGTAACGTAGGCTACTTTTATTTTTGAAAAAGAATTAGGGTTCCGCGCAAAAAAATAAAAAGCATGAAATCCAATCGTAATAAATTACACGCGGACAAACTCGCAGGGAACAGCTAGGTAGTATTTCATAAATTTAATTATTTACATGCATTCGTCACAGCTTATCAAAAATACACTTCAAAATAAAGGGGAACGCCATTAGATTGCTTCATACGGATTTCAACAGTCGCCACGTATGGCATGCGTTTTAGCAACCACATTTCTTGGTTGTTATCAGGAAGATGCTGATGATTGTTTCCTGTATAAATTTCCCACTGTCGCCGTTTACGATACTCACGGGATGATATGAGGTAGTGGTTTTAATTCGTTACGGTTGATTACATATTTATCGAAGTGAAATCTTATTTAGCCGCGTTGAGCGATTTTTGGCAATGGAAAAACTTAATATGGATTCGTGTCACCGATGACCTCGACATACTCGTGACGTATTAGCGACGCGTAGTATAGCGGACATTGTACATATATACGCATATATCATTGAGTTTTCACTTCTGTCAGCAGTCCTTATGGCTGCCTCTGTTTTTCTTTTTAAATTTTATTCGTATCTATCCATAACAGCCTATAAAAGTCCACATAGGTCACTCAAATAGATTGCCTCATTGGGAGGATTTTATCATAGACGCCACGCTTGGCAGCCGCAGTTTTTTAGTGTTTTGTGTTATTATTTGGAAGATGCTGCTGCCCACCTTTCAGTTTCCCTCTGTCGCCTTTTACGACACCCAGGGGACTATATAGTGTAGACATAGACATAGACATAGACATATGTTTTATTAGCATCAATACACACACAAAATATACATTTAGAAATAATGAGACATAAAAACATACAAGGAATAAATATTCATAAACTGTCATTCACAATTTTGTACGCACATATAATTACATAAAATTATCGTGTGGTGGCACCGTGGGAGAATCCCCATCACCACATTTTGTTCCGTGGGTGTTGTAGGATGCAAATATGGGACATGTTAGGAGAAACTCATGGATTTCGTTAGTTAGTGGTATTACGAGTACCATCATGTTTACGTAAAATACCCAGCACGGCGACGGAGAGCAGCGTCAATTGCTGAAAAAAAATAAAATATATATATATATATATATATATATATATGCCCTTCGACTAATATAACTAATCTACAAAATATTTTTATAATTTAAGAACTTTATTCTTTAAGTTAAGTTCGTATCCACTATATTTATTATTTACTTTTTTCTAATGTTATTATGCGAATCGATTAAGATATTATTTGTTAAAATATGGCGACTTGTTTATTGTTTATGACTTACAGGCAGACTTAGAAACGGGCGTACATGCACACATAGATATCAGCTCAACCATAAGCATATTGCGTCAGTGTATGTATGCCTGGTCCCAATCTCTTTAATTACATCCTAAAAATTATCCTTATTTATTTTGATATTAGTTTCAAATTAAATCTACGAATTAAACCAACTGATATTAAAACATCGACACGAATATTAACGATGTCTATTAATTGTAGTAACATAAAACATGTTTTATATTTAAATCGCTTCTTATCTCATGTTTATGTAGAGTATACGTTACATAACAGTGTTATTTCGCGCCATTATTATTTGAAGTGTATCGTTTTTAAAATAATATAACACTAGTTCACAGTTGGCCGTATAAGGAAGCTTAATGTCACACAGTGAGCCTAGGCTATGCTTGGAGTGTCTATGCATGACGAAATTCATAACGAGGACATTCGCAGTAGAAACAGAGTAACCGAAAAACTAAATGGATTAAAAAACTGAAGCAACTTCGGGCCAACTATATATCTGACGACCAATGGAATACTATTCAATGTTCTCCTACTAAATAGAGTTACGACCTTGTAAAACAAGTACAAAGTCGATGAATGAACGTGACTTAGGACCGAGCATTGTGATAATCAGGCCTATGTTTAATGATCCTTTGAAAGGCTGTAATGTTAATGATTCTGATGAACATGAGGCAATTTTTCTTCCATTTATTCATTGGCATCGGTCGCTTTGCTGTTTTATCGCAGCCGAGTAATTTATTTGTGCTTAAATCCCAGTTGGGACAAGCATGTGTAAACAAACACAACTTAAGGATGATTCGCGTTACAATGTGCCCCGCCCGTGACATAGACTGAGCGCGGTCGTTCTTGACTGACTTTGCTTTGTAAGCACTTTTTGAAAATCAAATGCTACGCGATCACTTCAATGAGTCCCTACTGCGGGTAAACCTTATAAGAAGAAGCGGCGAGAAACTCATAAATAGACTATTTCTGGGTGAACCGATTTCAAAGATTCTTTTTTTATTTGAAAGCTGGTGCTTTTCATGTGGTCCCATATAAATTTGATCAAGGTACTTACTACAATAGTTTTTGAGTTATCTATACAAATAAATAAAATTGAAGTGTCTGTTTGTAATGTCAAAATTACAGCTTTTTACTAAATGCATATGAAAGTATATACGGTACTAATAACAAATATACATTTTTTAAAGTTTTTCTGTCTGTCTGTCTGTCTTTTTATCTGTCTGTCTGTTTGTTCCGGCTAATCTCCGAAACGGCTGGACGATTTTGATGGGATTTTCACTGGCAGATAGCTAATGTCACAAGGAGTAACTAAGGCTACTTTTATTTAAAAAAGAAGAATTAGGGTTCCGCGCAAAAAAATTAAAACTCCAGATTCGCGGGGAACAGCCAGTTCTTAATAATTTATATTAAGTCGGTTGTACAAAATTTTTAATTTTTAATTTTTCTCTCAACAGTTACAATTTAACCTTATAATATTTTGCAATAACCGGCCAAATTTGCAGAGAAGGTTCAGAAAAATAAAAAAAAAACATCTCAAACATTCTATCCATTTTAACTTTTAAATTATAAATGCGTGGAAATGCATTATTTTATCTGACTGTCATTCATAAATACCTAACTCCTACTATTTTATTACTCACGCACACATTCGTAAGGGTGAATCGGTCAGCAAAAGCGTTGTGAAATGAATCACACACACAGGAGCGCGTAAGTGTAGTTGTCGCCAATAAATCACATTCAATTTTGGATAGTTTCAAACAAAATTAGATGCCTTTTTTACTCGTATTTTCAAAAACTGCAATAACGGTATATCATTATTTATATATTTGAACTTAAGTTTAAAATTTGGCTACTCTATGAAAAATAACACTGTATACATAAGTAATAAAAAGTCTTAGAAACCACATTTAATAACGGTTCCGTGGCGCAGCGGCTTAGCAATGAGTTGCAGCGCTGATGCTTTGAATTTATACAAAGGCAGCCAACTGGGACTAAACCCAAAAAAGTTATAAAAATCGTAATCTGTTGTTCCAGACAAATGATGGACGTGATTGTGATAGGATGTGGTGCGTCAGGAATAGCGGCTCTACGGAAGCTGCATGACGCTGGATTGAAGGTGCTAGGCCTAGAAGCCGATGACAGGATCGGCGGAAGAATAATGACTGTCGAGTATGGCGAGTGCGCGTTGGATTTAGGCGCCGCTTGGTATGTGTGGAAAATTATTTTCATTTATATGTCATAATTTTGCTTTGTCACCATTAATATACCTTAAAATATGTATGTACCTATAACAAAATTAAAACTAGTTTTTACGGTTTTTATCTCTTATATTCCCGTCGTTTCGAGTACTTTACAGCACCCATTCTCATGGACTGAGGTTTTCGACGGCTCATTGTCATAGTATAGTTAACCACAGCCACCTTCAGTTTAAAGTTAATAATTAATTAGCCTTTTTAAATGTGGATTTTAAAATTTCTGCAACGGACAACTAATCAATAAATATGCATTGTCATCATCGTTTTCCTCATTCGCAGCAGCTATATTGTATTCGATGCGTTCATTTATTCATTGTCTTGGTGTTATTACATCATATAATGACTATTATTTCATAACATGAAACCTATCCAGAAGCTTACTCGGATAAATTATGAGCGAATATGAATTACGTGTGTAGGTTGCGCGAATCGCCTTCGTATTTTCAAAGTAATGTAAATTTGGATAATTTGGTATAAAAAATACAAACCAATAATAATATATATTTTATTTCATTGTTTTGGAAAATTTACAGCTAAAATATTATTACACAATTAAGTAGAGGAAGAATGCCAATTACAAGTTAACACTGATAGAATTATAACGCTAAAACATAACAAGTTTATGTAAAATAAAAAAAACATGCGTGAGTGTCGTGAAACACTCGGTTGAAACGAAGTTCCTTTTTTAGTATATTATTATTGATAAACGTATATATATATGCTATGTCGGTCAGGTATACCTCAAAACTTGAAAACGAGACTGTACACCCAGTGCGTGTTGCCAGTGATGACATACGAAACTGAGACATGGTCCTTCACTGCTGGCCGGATGAGGAAGCTCAAGGTCGCTCAGCGAGCTATGGAGAGGGCTATGCTCAGAGTTTCTCTGCGTGATAAAGTCAGAAATGAGGATATCCGCAGTAGAACCAGAGTGACCGACATAGCACAACGGATTAGTAAACTGAAGTGGCAATGGGCCGGCCATATAGCTCGAAGAACCGACAACCGATGGGGAAGAAAGGTTCTCGAGTGGCAGCCTCGTACCGGCAGGCGAAGTGTAGGGCGTCCCCCCACTAGATGGAGTGACGACCTGGTAAGATATGCAGGAAGTCGATGGATGCAGGTGGCTCAGGACCGTGCTTTGTGGCATTCTTTGGGGGAGGCCTATGTTCAGCAGTGGACTTGTGAAGGGCTGTAATGATGATGATGATGATGAAACGTATTATATTATTAATTAACAAATACAAATAAATGAATTACTAGCGTCTATTAAAAGGAAGTGTCATTTAAAATTAAATAATATTTCTTTCATGGCAAGATAAATAAAAAGTGCGAGGGAGATGGATATTATTCCATCTCACTTCCTTATAGCCGCCAAGGCCGTCTACACGTTAAAAGGGATCGTGATGGAAAAATCTTACACTTTTTCTCGCCTAGCCCCCCTCCGCCAAATTCGTACCGTCCGAAAAGGAACTTCGTTCCAATAATAAAAAATCATACGCATATTACAGAGATCTACTGTATCTATAGCTTTCAAATAACTGTGCGAACACACATCAATGACAATTTCTGCTTCCAGGTGTCATGGTGAAAAAGATAACATTGTGTTTGAGCTCGCTAACCCGTTTGGTCTGCTTGGAAAACCTAACCCAGACAACAAGTGGTTTGTCCTCTCCAATGGTGACCTGTTGCCGGAGGATAAATGTGATGCTCTCCTTGATGCACTGAACCAAGAAATTGGAAAAGCTGACAAGAATAATACCAAATCTATCTCCGAATGTGTACGCAGCGCGTAAGAATATAATATGTTTGTCTAAAACTAAAGTATATATTTTTTATAGATTAAATAAGCACACAGTTCACCTGATGATAAATGTATGCTGTGACCCATAGACATCTACATCTATCCTCAAAGAAGAATCAAAATGCAGATGAGTTGTCACACCCGAGGACCAAAATGTCTCCAATAACAGGGGTCTCCGGGTCTCTACACTCACCATAAGAAACAAAGCAGCATTAAACTGCTATTTCACGCTGGTATTCTGTTTCATGCTATAACCACAATGTAACTGTAGCATAGCTGTACCACGTAATATACGAACTTGTGCTAGATTTATAAGATTGAAAAAATATAAAATGGAGGCGTAAGAATGTTTTTTTTTTTTTGTCATTTTGTTATTACAAACCACAACATGAAGAGCTGCACAGTAAATATGAAGTATATTTGGTCTCACTGCTAGGTAATAACTAGGCCTAAATGAGAAGCATTTCTATAAGGTTTTGGAGAGCTTCAAAAATTTTTTTTTGTAATTATCTAAGATATCATTTTTTATAGGAGAGGGAGCAAACGAGGATACGGCTCACCTGATGGTAAGTGACTACCGCCGCCCATGAACAACTGCAACACCAAAAGAATCACAGGTACGATGCCGGCCTTTTAAAAAAGAGTAAGCTCTTTTCTTGAAGGTCCCTAAGTCGTATCGGTCCGGAAAAATTGCCGGTGGTAAGCTATTCCACAGGGAGGTCGTACGCGGAAGAAAACTCCTAGTGAAACGTACAGTGGTGGACCGCCAAGCATCCAGATGGTGTGGATGGTATTGGGAATTTATCATGTTGATTTCGTCAAGCACTTCCTAGTGCTAAACTCGTTGACATGGACTAAAATTCTACGATAATTGCTACAAAAATTTGTCATCCGATAGATATTAAAAGATATCAATAGATATCGGTTCATACGTGGTAGAGCCACGCTGCAGCTCTATAATGGTTGTAGTGCGAATAGAACCACGCTCTTATAGAATGCCAGCGTAAAATAACAGCTTAATTCTGCTGTGTTTCGTATATTGAATGTAGGGAACCGGAAACTATTTACTGGAAACGAGGCATTCTATCTTCTATTACTATCTTTCATTTGTATCAGTCGTCAAGGGTTACAACGCATCTGCATTTTGATTTTTTATCTAATATTATAATTTATTTATCTATATTAATCGAGGATAAATGTAGATGTCTATGGGCCACAGCCTCCACTTATCATCAGGTGAACTGCCTGGTCCTTTGTCACAATTATTCTAAAAAAAATAACTAGTCCTAAATGAGAAGCATTTCTATGTAGGTTTTAGAGAGCCTCAAAATAGTTTTTGTAATTTATTTGATATCATGTTGGTTTCGTCAAGTGCTTGCACGTGAAGTGCTTGACTTTTACATGGGTTCAACGTCTATAAGAATTGCTACAAAAAATGGCTTCCGATATATGTTGATGATATCGGTAATATAGACCGACAATGGTCAACCTCGTCAATGGTGCGAGACCTCTGTAACTACCATCGTTTGTTCGCCTGCCAAACATGACGGTTAAGGCAATTCTCCCCTCAACGGGAGCGGCAGGATGTAAAGCCGTGGACTTTTACGAACAATTATATATGTGTAATGTATGTAATGTAGTGTCTGTAATGAATATATGTTACGGGTAAACTTAGAAGAATGAGTAAAACCTAGGCTTATACAGGTACACTTAGAATTATCTAAGTTCCTTGGGTAAAGCCCGAAATATCACCAAATTTAATACAGATTCGGAGTCTACCCGAATAAACCTAGGCTTACCGAACGCTGGCAGGTTAATTTTTTTTTTATAGGAGAGGGGCAAACGAGCATGCGGCTCACCTGATGGTAAGTGACTACCGCCGTCCATGAAGAACTATAACATCAGGGGAATTGCAAATGCATTGCCGGCCTTTTAAAAAGAAGTAGGCTCTTTTCTTGAAGGTCACTAAGTCGTATCTATCCGGAAAAATCGCTGGTGATAATCGATTCACAAGGAAGTTGTGCGAGGAAGAAAACATCTTCTAAATCGCGCAGTGGTGGACCGCCAATCATCCAGATGGTATGAATGGTATCGCGAGATTTGTCGCGATATACGATAGTGAAATCGAACGGTTGGAATCAGTCCGAACAATTCCTCAGAGCACTCCCCGTGATCATCATCATCATCATTACAGCCCTTCACAAATCCACTGCTGAACATAGGCCTCCCCCAAAGAATGCTACAAAACACGGTCCTGAGCCACCTGCATCCATCGACTTCCTGCATGTCTTACCAGGTCGTCACTCCATCTCGTGGGGGGACGCCCTACACTTCGCCTACCGGTACGAGGCTGCCACTCGAGAACCTTTCTTCCCTATCGGTTGTCAGTTCTTCGAGCTATATGGCCGGCCCATTGCCACTTCAGCTTACTAATCCGTTGGGCTATGTCGGTTACTCTGGTTCTACTGCGGATATCCTCATTCCTAAGTTTATCACGCAGAGAAACTCCGAGCATAGCCCTCTCCATAGCTCGCTGAGCGACCTTGAGCTTCCTCATCCGGCCAGCAGTGAAGGACCACGTCTCAGTTCCGTATGTCATCACTGGCAACACGCACTGGGTGTACAGTCTCGTTTTCAAGGTTTGAGGTATACCTGACGAGAAGATGTGCCGTAATTTCCCGAACGCTGCCCAACCGAGTTGAATCCGTCGATTGACCTCTCGGTCTAAGTTGGACTTACCTAGTCGTACTATTTGTCCCAGGTAAACATACTCGTCAACAACTTCGAGCTTAGTGTTCCCAACAACTACCGGCATAGGTGTGACATGGACATTAAACATGATCTTAGTTTTGTCCATGTTCATCTTAAGACCTATACGTTGGGAAACACTATTGAGGTCATTGAGCATAGTGCTTAGGTCCTCCAGCGATTCTGCCATAAGGACTATATCGTCGGCAAATCGAAGGTGAGTGATGTACTCGCCATTGATGTTGATATCGTATCCTTTCCAGTCCAGAAGCTTGAAAACGTCTTCCAATGCAGCGGTGAAGAGTTTCGGGGATATGACGTCACCCTGTCTTACACATCTCTGCAATTGGATAGGTTTCGTACTCTGGTTCTGTACTCGGATAGTCATCGTAGCCCTACTGTACAAGCACTTCAACACTTCGATATACCGACAGTCAACTTGCCACCGCTGAAGGGACTGCAGCACCGCCTAAATTTCGACGGAATCAAAGGCTTTCTCATAGTCCACATACGCCAGACATAGTGGCAAATTGTACTCTTCGGACTTCTGTACAATTTGCCGAAGGGTATGTATGTGGTCTATGGTGCTAAATCCCTTTCGGAAACCGGCTTTTTCGGGAGGCTGGAAGTCGTCAAGTCTGCGCGCGAGACGATTCGTAATGACTCTCGAAAACAGCACGTAGACGCGGCTCAGATGGGAAATCGGTCTGTAGTTCTTCAAGAGAGCGTTGTCACCTTTCTTGAAGAACAAGACCACCGCACTTCTGCTCCACGCCTCCGGTGTAATGCCACCATGGAGGACGGAATTAAAGAGCTTCTGAAGGACTTCAAGTACCGGTTTTCCACCCGCTTTCAGAAGCTCCGCTGTAATTCCATCCTCGCCTGGGGCCTTACCGTTTTTAAGGTGCTGGAGAGCCATTCTAATCTCGCTCAGACTGACGTCCGGGATATCTTCGGAATAGTGTCGGATGAGACTCGCTCTTGGATCGTTACTCACACTTGCGTGTGGCTCCAACGATGACGTGTACAACTGCCCATAGAACCTCTCAATCTCACTCAAAATCTCAGGTGTCCCGGAAACGATGCTGCCACATTCTGTCTTCAGCTTTGACAGTTGGCTCTTTCTGGCAGACAGATCTCTGGCAAAGACTTTGGAGCCTTGGTTCCGCTCGATCGCTTCTTCAATACGAGCTGTATTGAAGTTGCGTAAGTCCCGCCGTATGCATTTGGAGATCTGTCTGTTCAGATGCCTGTATGCTGTCAAGTCTGTTGAAGAATGCAGCTTCATCTCCCGTCTAACAGCCATGAGATTAAGAGTGTGATCGGAGAGTTTTTGTGTTCTTCTGCGGCGGGTCTTGCAGAACTTAGCTCCGACCGCATGGACAGTTTCCACGAGCTTGTCATTCATATCGTCTACTTCATTGCAGTATTCTAGGCACTGAAAACGGTTTTGTTACTCGAGCTGAAAGGTTTCGGGACTTTGGATTAGAGCACGAGGGGGACGGAGCGTTGACTTCATTAGACGAGACCTCTCCAACTTAACGTTTAGGTTCAGTGTGCCTCTAACCATTCGGTGATCGCTACCAGTTTTCACCCTCGCGATCACGGAGACATCACTGAACAGTTGTCGTCTGGTCGTCATAATGAAGTCAATCTCATTTTTTGTCGAACCGTCGGGGCTCGACCAGGTCCACTTCCTGTGGGGCCGCTTCTGGAAGAAAGAGTTCATCATAAAGAGTCCCTCTTTTTCCATGAAGTCGGCCAGCTGCTGGCCCCTTGGGTTCCGTTGCCCTATTCCAAATTTCCCTACTTTCAGCTCACCGTTCTCTCTTGTGCCTAGTTTTGCATTAAAGTCTCCCATTAACACCGTATATTGGGTTTTGGAGGAATGCATGGCTCTAGAGATATCCTCATACATTTCCTCCACCTCCTCATCGGGGTACACTCCCCATGATACATGCGATAAAATACGCAAAGAGATGCAACATTTCTACGCAGTGCCAGTGAGTCAAGCCGATCGGAAAGAACTAGGTCGTCGTCGAATGTTCATGTATTAGGTCGTCAAAAAAATACTTAAAAGGATATGATTATTCTAGTAAGTCTTCTCTCACTCTTAAGTTTACGCGTAACATATACATATATTTTTATGTTTCAACTTTTAGGCCCGCCACATAGTTCCGTTCCGTTTCGAGATTCCATTTCGGAATTCCGAACGGGTCGGCCACACACATACGGAATCC